TAATTTAAAAATGAAGTGGTCAATCAAGCGTTGGTAAAAAACAATGAACGGACTATATCCGATAACCCGAAGGTTCTATCGAAAAACTACAAAGGACCGATATTTACCGGTGAAAATGACCTTTAAATTCTCGACGGGAGAAAGTGCTCGAAGTTGCTCGTTGAAAAGCGTCGGTGAAAAATTCGTACGTGACATTTACATGGAAATTGCAATGTTCACGCTCTATTCGTTAGCACGTAAAGCTAGAAAATGTCGCGAGATCTCGATCTCGAGTGAAAGGGAAAGTCACGCGTCATTTTCTAGCCATAGTCCTATCTATCGAGAATTTTGCGTGGGCGTGTGTTTGGGTTTCTCTCGGGCCACGTGCTCGTTCGTTACAATATCGACTTTCAAATACTTTTATCTCTTACTTAAAACAACCAAATGACAATTTATCTCCTCCTGTGTTTCAACACGTATCTGATCATTTGAAAAACTATGTTTAAAGACTGATCCTATGGGCGAACACCAAGTACCATCTATCACTATTTACTTGTGCAAGAGGAGATAAAGAATAAAGTACAGAATTGGTCGCGAACGAGACGTTGCTGACTACTTACTATTTTCGGACGAACGGGTCACCATAGCCGAGACACTTCTCGATATTCCCATTGACAGCATCGTCGACGTTCACTTTGAATGATTGATTCTTCGATGAAACCCCGAAGTCTCTCAACCACGTCTTCTTTAAATTCTTTAATGAAAACTCGTAAATTTTCACGGTGCTTCGATACAATTAAATTCCAGAGTGACTCTCGAGAATATTTCTACACAATCTCCGATGAAACTCGGTTGTTTTCTGTGACGAAATCGGTGTTAACGAGAACGCGAGAGAGCGGGACCAGCCGCGAATTCGCGCGTCTCGGTACTCAGTGATCGAGGCCGAACTGCAGTCGGGCTAAAGTCCGATGGAACTCGTCGACGACTTTCCGCTCGGAGGACGAGGCTGCCAGGTTTGAATGGAGCCATCCCGCGATTGGTCGACCAAGATAGTGACGTCATTGCATTGATTGTCCCGCGCACGCCGCACCACGTGGCCCATCCAATCCTTCTCTCTGTCTCCATCTCTCCTCATGCCCTCCGTTCCTCCTTGCTCCCTTCCACCCTCGTTCATCCCTTTTCTTTACCCCCGTTTCTTTTTTTCGTCCGTTCTTCTCTTCGCTTTCGCCCGTGGTTGAAAATTGCTTCCAAGAAGGGTTCAAAAGGAGCGACGAGATTCTTTCCTCGAACCGTCTGGCCCAACCGAGCACTGACTACTCGAGGGGTTTGTCTTGAGTCTTTCTACTCACCGTTTCGAGTGCGCTTCTATCTTTTTTATTAACGCGAACATGTCTCGGAATCATCTGAAATCCAGACGCGGTTTTCAAAATATAATAGACCCCGTCTGCTGTAATAGACCCCGAGTTCGCTTCGAGACAGTTAAAGAAAAATGTATTTTCGTTCTTTATCGATCGCGTACGTAAAAGATAGAACTTCTGTTTGAGAGACATTTTCGTACAAAGGTGCCTGAAGTCGAAGGTCAGTGATCGACCTTCCGAAATATTTTCCGAGTCGATAATCGTTTACCTCACAGCCTTTCTAGGCTAACGTAAGATTAAGCTAGTATCGATCCGTATAGTGATCCGATCTCTCTAGCAAAAGGTTGGGCACTTGTCCTGGATGCCTAATACGAAATGTACGACGATTCCAAAAATATCACGCGAGACTTGTCAGCCACCGCGGCGGCGACACCACCACCACCACCATCGCCTACCACCGTGGATGCTCTTCTTCAGCAACCTCAGCCTCATTCACCCACTTTTCTCCTGTCGCACTGTGCGCTGACCCTTACCACTGCGTGCCTCTGTTTTCACTTCAAGAGACACTTCTCTCTTTCCCGTCCTTTTACTTCTAACATTTCTGACCTTCCAGTACAATATTCAATCGTTCATCAGTTAGAGGAGACATTATTGCGTGCAATTTAATGATAAACTGAATTAATTACTCAGTCTATTAATTTAAATTGGACACGATGTGCGTCATTAAAGAATGCATGTTTTTATGTCCTGCACCCGAGCACAGAATCCAACATCTCCTCTCCTCTCTCATGAGGAGGAGGGGGGATGCTGGAAGCTGTGCGATAGAAAAGGAAGGACAGATGACCAGCGCTAGGCAGGCAACTGGAGGTTTCAGGTCGATGCACCCCTCCGGTCGCTTGCCAACGAGGGTTCGACGCCCTGCGCCGTCCCCTGACGTCATTCGAGCGCCCTCACCTCTCTCTCTCTTTCTTTCTCTCGCGTGCGCGTTCATCATTCGTGCCGGCATCGATGAAATACCGAGACCAAGTTTTCGAACGTCCTTCGAAAATCCTTTCATTGCCGTTCCAGTTTCATTGCCGTTCAATTCCAAATCTTTAGGGTCATCGCGATTTTTAATTGCCTCGTTCATTAAACGCAGAGCCTATTGTATCTTCCTAAAAGTGGAACGTCGCACTACATCCTGATCAGTAATCTTCTTACACTATCAGGCTTATTGTCTTGCCTTGCTTAATATGTACAATGTTCGAAATTCAGGATATCGTAATTTGCAATTCTATTCGTTTACGCAGACAATCTGAAGGATTAGTGATCTAGAAGTGTACGTACACAGCTGTAAGTCCAGGCAGCTGGAATCGTACGGTTTATCTGTGAGTATCGAACACGATCTGGTTGAAATATGCAAAAGTTGCTCGCAGCCAGCAACGGTATCGTCCCGAGGGTTCACCCTCGGAATTAACCCATAATTCCCGGGAACACCCGCGATTGGTGTACGTGTTATCGTCCGAATTTTCAATCGATGTCGCGAATTAATATTCTCGGCGGTGCAGTCGATAACCTGTCCCTGACGTAACGCCCACGCGGATGCGCCGGAGGTGGGAATTGTTGGCCAAAGGGGTGCCGCCCGGGGGGCGGTCAACGGAACTGGGTCACTGGAGCTTCATTCACATTACGCGGCCATTCATGAGATTTGCCAACCGTTCGGCTTTGATGCTCTTCACGCGTTCCTTATGTTTCCTTTTTTCTTACCAAAACCCATCGTTCCATCGGAACATCGGTTGCCGCAAATTAGGAGCCCCCGTTACGAATTCGTTTACTGCTGTGTTTGTATTTTCTGGGTTAAGCGGACGCGTCCAGGCTCGCTTGGAACACGTATACTTTTATCCAATCTCTTTTCACTTATCTTTTTTATTAAACACGCTTATTTATTAAACACGTATTATTGTTCGACGTCTGTTCGTGTTTCTCGTTGGAAATTTATTGTTCCATATTCGATTCAATGGATTAATCCATTCGTCGTTGAACAAAATTATATCCAATTTATTATATGAATAGATACACAACTCTGCGTGATTTAGATGTTGAAAATAAGAAGGGAAGATGCAAGTAGCACTCGCTTTCACGAATTTTCACCATCCTTGAGGTAGGTCAATGACAGATGGCCGGAGCCAGCGGTTAACTGACGAAGTCAGTGAATCTGCAGTCACCGGAATCAGTGAGAAAACTGGTTGCCTTGTCATTCCTGCAATGGTGATTCCGAGGGTGCGAGCGGGGAGGTTCGAGATGGAGCAGGAAATTTCTCGCTTAACTTTCGAAAGCATCTTGAAGCGGTCTGCCTAGGTCTGCCCGACCTACTTTCCCCCGGGCAATGACGTTGGATGTATGACGTCACGGGATCGGAAAGTGGGTCGCGAGGTCGAAGGCACCTCGCCTGTTTCCCGCGGATGCTTGCCCCCTTGCTTGATGACTCAATTCATTGAAAAACGAGCGCCGGATTTAATATCGTTATCACGTATAACCATCGCTCGCACACTTTTCTATTATTGGGAATAATATAAATTTCAAATGGGATACACATTTTAGCAAATTGATTAATGCTCACAGAATCGTTTTTTCAATGAAAGATTCTCGTCTCCTTTAGAGCTTCAAGATTTTTTAATACACCGTAGAGTCGCTCGTGAACTGAATTTGAGGTGGAGGAAATAAGGACACGAGTGTTTAAAGACCGTAAAAGGTAATAGATACTATCTATTATTCTATGGTACGCAACTCGATTGTTACGGCTTTAGTTTCGTGGAAATCGTTAACCAGAAACGAGGAAGCACATCACTTGTTTTATAATTGTAATAAGCGTTTACTATTTCTCAATGGTATTTGGAAACAATAAACTAGTACCATTGTTTTTATGGAAGATTATCCATTTCTTCCTCAGTTTATTGTTCCCAAGTAAACGCTTATTACAGTCTACGATCATACAGTCTGCGATCGATCTGCATTGCACTTATCAAACGTATTTATATTAAAAGTTCGTTTTTTGAGAATACCTGGGTGACAGGATATTTGGAATGACAAGATAAGGATGGGGGTGGAAAAGGGAGAAATCGTTGAGACAGGGTCGACGGTTCAACCGGCGACAGTGCGCGCTAAAGGGAGAGGGAACGGCGGTAAAAGCGGTGCATAGAGCGGGAGGAGGTAGGTCGGTGATAGCTATTTTTAGAATGTAGGTCACCCATAAACCCCGGCTTGTCCCGTGACGTCACGGGATCGTCGTCGTGGCAACAGGGACGGGTTAATCACCCGACCCACCACCCTCACACCTATCTCAACCCCTTGCCTATCATCGCTCAGTCCGGCCGTCGACAGTCATACTCGCGCTGCCTCGTCTACGGCGGGACAGATATGCAAACGATTGTTAACGCACTTTCTAAACAATCAGTTTTCATTGTCCGATCGATCTGAAACACGAATCAGAATTCATAAACGTAATCTAAATAAGAACGACTATATTACTTAAATAGTACTCAGTCTTATCACACCCAGGTCAATCCTATTTATCACAGTTATCATAGATATGTTAATGCATTTTTATACAATACTGAAAAGTTATTTCAAATTCAAAAAATTCTTTTCACGTTAAACACGTTTTTAAATAGATTATATTTGATAACTTTGATTCTAATATTTCTATTCCATCACTTCCTCCTGCCTTTTATATCGCATATTAGAGCTAATTGTAAAATCATGAGAGGTGAACACAGTTCTTTTATGTTCTAAAGATTGTCTCCTACTAGCAATTTTTTAATTTTCCGAGGGACTAATTCTGGAGACTCTCAGCTTTCATCGTTTGTACTGTCGCACGTTGAAATCGGTTCACTAGAAGCCAAGTTATCCTGATGGCATATTTAGCTTAACGAAAGGTCAAAATCTGCCCAATCAAGAGCAGTTAGCGCCACTTCCTTAAATCTGTTCTCCTGCGCGGCAACTGGGCAGGTTAACAGGTATCTAGAATGACAGAAGAGGTCGACTGACTGGGACAGACAAAGAGGACTTCATCGTGTGGGGAAGACAGACACATCCTTCTCCAAAAAATTTGGCCGCAGGAAAAAGCGGATATCTCGTTTTTTAATGAACGGATTTTGACAAACCGTCGCTGAAATTAAAGACGAGAGTCCAGAGGGACCTTCTAAGTACACAAGAAATTAAAAAATATGTTTTTTATAGGAGAAAATCATAAAAATGTAAAAGAACTCCTTATAACTTTGAAACCAGAACAGGTATCACAATGGAACGTAAAGAAGACTAATCTCTGAACGCTCAGCTTAACTTTAAGCGTATTTTAAAATCGGTTCACTAAAAGCTGAGATATTTTAACTTCTTTCCGTAGATTTACTTGTGTTAGTACTAACGTCTCACCGCTATGTGGTGAGCAGAACATAAAATGGCAACTGTACCAGTAAAAAGATATTAGGCGTTGATTTCTTTAGTTGTATTTTTCGTTTCTCTCATTACCCGTTACTGCCTTAGTGTTCAGTTTATTAAATATCGCATCTCAGTACAATAATTCATTAAAAACCAATAGTACAAACGATCATTGTGACGTGATAGTACAAATATATAAATCTAAATAGTATAGCTAACCCTCTGCTATATCGTTTGCCACTGCCGTGTTTATTAAGATCGAATTACGTGAAACAGTATTAAAATGATAGAAAATAGTTACCCGCGGGGAAGTGATTTACGAGATACAAGCGATAAGAACGTTCTCTGTTGCGTCACAGGCGATTCATTGAATGTGTCAACATCGATAATATTAGTCATATGATTATAAGCTTCTCAGTTGAAATAACAGTAAAAGATATCATTATACTTCGCCAATAATATGGGTACGTAATAGAAAATATAATCATTATCATTCCGTTGAGATGCGCACGGAATACGTAAATTGTGGATTTTTTCAAGTGATGGCAGGGAACGAAAATACTGGATCTTTAGCAGAAGATTCACTGTCAACCAGATTGCAATGGCTTCGACAACGTCGAGAAGCATTGCAAGAAAAGTTGGCACAGAAGAACAATGAGCTTAAAAATCTGTGTGTGGAAGAAGCAGAATTGACTGGTGTCTTGCCACCAGAAATACCATTGGAGCCTGGAGAAAGCCCACCAGTGTTCCGTAAAAGAGTTGGAACAGCATTCACCTATCCACAGAATTTAATTAACAAATTGAAATCGAACGAAGTTGTATGTACTTCAGTTGAAGAAGATGATTTATCAAAGTTGGATGCATGGTACATTTATATTCTGTGCCTATTTTTTAGGAGGAATCTGCCTTGGAATTAGAGAGACAGGTTCAAATGGGTATAATAGAAACTGCTTTGGCTATCGTGAACGATCCCACAGAGAGCAAAGCGGTTCGCCGTAAGCATAGATTGATTTACCAGCAGAGTCAACACAGACTTCAGGAACTGGAAGCGCGTTTAAATTTCCTAAGACAGGGTCGTAATAAAACGCATCATTCTACGCAAGTACAACATCCTCTGAATTGTAACACGCAGCCGCATCTACACGCGAATGTAAAGCACAGAACGAAGAAACCTCGACCACCGTTAGATGGTACAGGTACGATACTTCTTTATTCTGAATGTAAGAAAGCTAGATTTAGTTAACTTCATTTGAATCGTATTTTGTTCGTAACGACAGTGAACGATGTAAATAAAACTTCGAGAGGGTTGCTTCAAGAGACTGGCATAAGCTTAAGTCCGTTAGGATCAGAGGAGAAGTGTAACATTTATCCTAGCCACGGATATGATGAGCAATCGCTGGTGTCAAATCACAATCATATCGGTGCTTACTGTCCTACGATCTCCGATCAACGGCAAAGTATTAAAATAATAGAACACGATCATAACGACAATCAAAACGTTTACATACTCCCGGATCAACATCGCGCGCGAACATATTCGCACGGCAGCGGTGGTTCACGTACGCAAAATCATTATCAAGATAACGAGCGAGTCTATCGTCCCTTGCCAAACACGTACAATGAAGACGAAAGGCAACAACGCTATCGTCAATTTCAGCAACAGCACGAACCAAGTCATAATCATCAGTATCCCGACTACAAACACTTAGACAACGACGTCCAGCGAAGGCCTGCACAAGAATATTACGAAAGAGATTTTCGCGCGTCGCATTACTCACACATGCCCGAGTTTTCAGTCTATCACAAGACTAATTCTCAAACACAGTCTCTATTGAGACGAGATCGTGATTCCGGTGGGAATAAGAATTTACGATACACAGATTCACCGAGTGAATCGCAATTACCGTCGGGATACTGGATGCGGTACGAGGACGAGATCGTTTGGTGCACCGACGATCAGCTCGCATCGGATAGATTCGGGAGTTTGGATCGAAGGAAACGTAATGCTCTTCAGCATACTAACAGTATCGGTGCCGAAGTACAACCCCGTTATCGTACAGGTGGTAATAAAAGTTCTTACGCCCCATCTTATCAAAACGCTTCCGTTCATTTGCTTCCTTTAACCGAACAACCATCGTGCAACAACAAAATGTTGCTGCGCACGCAGTCCTTAGGTAGCGTAGAAAAGTGGCATTCGAATCATTTACATGACGGAAAAGATACAATCGATAACGGAGGACGAAAGGGGAGAGAGAAGGAATGGTACGAAACCTCTTTAGATTCTGCTACGAGCCCAGGACCAGAAGTTAGTCTAATACCGTCGCACAAAGCTAATATTCATTATCAGAGTAATTTATCTGCTTCTTCGAAAACGCCTATCACTTGTAATGGTGAAGACGGGAAGAGTAACAATTATATTCTTCCCATAAACCATCGTAAACCAGACGTGATAACAAGTAAAAACGATCAACATTTGCAACCATTGACGAATCGTTATGAACCGACGCGGAAAAAGGTGCTCGAGATTCCAGCAGAGTCGAAGTCGTCTCAAGGAACGAACGAAGAAACGATAATGCTGGGTTCCTCCCAGAATTGCACGATCGTGCAAGCTGGGAAGTATCAACCGTATAGAGAAGTTACAAAACCTTTCGAGATGTCCGATTTCTATAAATACTCTACAAAGTTTCGTAAAAGGAACGAAACTAATGGACAGAACGGAGCAAGTGAAATTTCTGATGATTCCCGAGGGACGCAGAGCGTGGGAATGAATGAGCTTAGGGAGTCTGAATCTCCGGATGCTGTACATAATGGACCAATGGCTAGTTCAGTCCAAAAAAGAATCTATCAGCCAGTTCAACGTATGACGTGTCAACCTTATCTCACGTCAATGAGGTAATTTTTAATTCTGCATAAATTAGGATAAATTCGACAGGCTGGCCATGATAGGCTGGACCTGCCTAGATAAATATTTATAACGGGTCAATATGACGCTTATTGTCTATAAAATTTGAGGCTTCATCAAAATTTAACTTCGTCCATATTGCCTATATTGAAATTAATATAAAGACTTGAGAAGTGCCTTAGAGTTGAACATTTTTTATTGAAGAATTTTTCGGATTTATTCATTGAATTTTTTGATTCGTAAAATACGAATAAAATCTTTTTATAATTGACTTTACATTATGTAAGGTAAAGATTTAGAAATACTTTTAAAGTAGTATAAAAGATGAATAGGACTGATCGAAGAGTAAGCAGACTAAACATTAAAAGTTAAATATAAAATATGATTTCTCAATGTATATTTGAATACATCATACATTCATAATTTTGTAACAAACTTTGCACAATGCAATCCATGACGCCTTCGGCTTTAAAAGCCAAAGGTCGAAATGGATTCGATTTATTTAAATATGTTATAAATATAACAGACTTGTATTTAGTTTCACAATAACAATTTACTTAGTACTGTTATTGCGAATTTCGAATTAAGTTATTAACCACAGTAATAATCTGTAGTTCTATTATAATTTTGATTACTCTTTAAATAGATTAATCTGTTATGTGCGATTTATAAATTTGTTAAGAGTAAATAAATAATAAATTACAGTACTGTGAGAAACGAGTGTTTCAAAGAATTACTCCCTCGGTGTTATCAATTGTCTAAGTAACTTTATTTTAAAATTTCATGTTCTCGTACTATCACGCAAACCATATTAAAATTCTGTTATACATCTGTGTAGCTTAACTGCGAATTACATACACCGTGTAGCTTATTACGTAAACGGAGTTATTCTTCCGCGTTTTACAAATGCACTTCGCAAAATAAATGAACACCGAACTAATCGCAATCAGAACCATTGGCACTCGATATAGTACGAAAGATATTCTTGAAACTGAATGCACGAAGTAGAATTTGACAAATTTCTAAATACCAGTAACATTATTATTAGTGTTCCGCCGTTTATATAAATCGTTCAACAATCAGTAATCGATAATAAAGTAATAAAAGCATATGATGCACAACTTCGCTTGCGCTCTATATTTATATATATATAATTTTTAAGTCTAAATTAAATATATAGCGTGTTGCGTAACATTTAAGTATAACAGTTCAGCATAAAAGTAACGGCATAGGAATTCTATAAAAAATATAAAGAACTTACATATATTTTTATCGTGCAAGGATTGTCAGATAATTCCGGATGGCATCTGCTTATACTGATGAACAATAACATACGATACTTATCTCATTTTGTAAACGCATCGAAGGCAGACGCCTTTAGCAAAAAGGAAATACATACTAATAAATGGAATTAATACGCGAAGGATATATCGAAACAATAAACTAATGCTCGTTAAGAACTATTTCTCTGATCATTATCATAGAAAGTTTTCATTTAAGTAACTCTAACAAAACGATTGATACCATATTCTTTGGCTTTCGGTTTTGTATGATAAAGTTCTGATTGCCCTCATTCATCGATAAAACAATTAATTCGGAAATTGTGGCATCTCAGTATAATAAATGATAACAAAAATTTCGTATAGTCGTCGAACGAAATCGTCATTTATAAAATAATATTTATTTGTTCTTCTTACCCCCTAAATCTGGAATTCGTGCATATCGCCAAAAAACTGGTTTCCTTTTATTATATTTAGCAGTAGACGCGCATACGACCAAGTTTTCATACTATCATCCATGCACACGCTTATTACATAGTACACACCCGATTTGCGCAGTTTATCACGGTTATTTTAAAACTATTAATTAAAGACTAACGCTATACAATTGAATAATTTAAGGAAATTTGTTTAAACGTTCGCAGAGCCATAACTGGAGGTAGGAGAAAACTTGTTGTCAAATTGTATCGATAATGGTGAATTCATTAATCCATGATCACGTCGAAATTAAATATTAGTTATTGTGAATAACATTATTTATATATTTTATTATCGCCTCAATGTGTAAATTTAAAAATTAAGATCTGTTTCCCGTTGATTGAAAAGTAAGTACCTATTCTGAATCGTAAATAACTTTACGGCGCTAAAGCTACAGTAAGAAGAAGATGACAAGTTCAAATTTGTTTATTTTATTGAATCCGTTTTCAATGAAGCGTTCAATTTTAAGCCGAAAATCAATATACAAATATCGTGCTTAAGATAGATGAAATTGATTGCTCAACAGAAATTTGCCGAATATACGAACTAAACCTTGTTGAATAAACATATTTCGTTTACATTTCGTAAACAGAAGGATTTTGAATGTGAAAATGAAACTCTTTATTTCCCATGCGCGCGAAAGGATCACTGTAAGCACATGTCGATGTATATTCTATTGATCGAATTAATTTGGACCACTAATGTAATAGAGTTGATGGGTATTTCTTATTAGTTGTAACAATATTGGTCAAGATACATAAACAAAAGCGATTACAAAATGACTATATAGCATTTTAAAAAGTTGCGATTGTACATGTGACTGCGACCTCCCTCATTACTATCATCGTTATTATTATTACCGATCTGATGTCATTTACACATCGCTCACGTAACTATCATCAAGTAAAGCACACAAATGTTTTATTAACGTAGCCGCGATATTGTCGAATCATATCCATTCAAACAATTCATTCAAACTACTTGTCTATTCATCCACTGAAACCACGTACAAGGTGGGTGGGTGGGTGAGTTAGAGGTGATACAGTTAACAGCAACAGCAGCAAAGATAACTGAATTAATACAACTACTCAATCTAAGATTCAGAGTCAGACCATTCAGAGTCTTCTGAGTCTGAGAAAAAGGAAACAATATCTTCGAGATCTACATCATATATCCAACGGCCGTTTCTCTCCTCAAAGAAGTCCCACAAAATTAGCTGCTGCAAGAAATGTTCAAAGATTCGAGATGTCCGATCGCAAACCAAACTTCTGTTACGCAGTGCGAATAGTTGCTACTTACTCGCAAAATATCTACATCAGCGTCGGCATTACGTCGTTGACGAACAGGTGGACCGACATCAGTTTTAGTGCCATCGGGTAGAGCGTGGAGATAAAAGCACTTATTGCCGAACGGACATTTACCGCGGCCCTTGTTGAAATACTTGCAATCCTTGGTGCTGCGGCAAACGAACCGTATAATGCACAACCGAACGTCAGGATCGCAGGTGTAACTCATCTTACCTTAACGCACATTTATAATCCATTATTAATTTCTCTTTTTCCTCTTTCGTGTCTACCCAGTACATACTCGGACATACGAAATCGGACGTGACACGACATTCCGGGCATGCCCTTATGATTTTATTGTCGAATTGCTTCGCTTGCCTCCACTTTCTGATGCAACTCAAACAGAAGCAGTGATTGCAATTCGGTAAAATACCGAATCTCTGTTCCCCAGATGCTTTCTCCATTATAACTTCGAAACAGACACCGCAAGATTTTTCTCTGCTACGTTGAATCGCGAACGAAATTTCCATGTCCACTTCATGTTGCTTAACACAAGCCTGAAAGATCATCGTTGATGATAACAATGCGGACTGTGATAACGCGAACGCAATGGAGCAATGCGATGTAATTACATTTGTATGTTTTTTTCGAAGTTCTTCGTTATGTGGATGAAGCGCAGCGCGATTGCACAATTCGCAAATATCTCCATGTAGATATGTACAATTACGTTTTTTACAAATCCCGGTTGCTTCCGCGTATGGACACAGTGGTTCCAAGGATGGACTGGAGGCTTGACCAGACGGGTTCACGGCTTGAGCATAGGATAACGGTTGTAAAGAACTCGTGGCTGTTTCCATAGCAGTTTCATTCGTAGAAGACGATCCGGCCACTTCCGAAGGTACAAATTCCGGAGCCTTTACCCACTCTTCGGCGATACGTGCACTTTCCGCACTAAAATAACATCAAATGGATTCTAATTTTTCGCTATCCCCATTATCATAATTCATATATATACATGTGTATTTATATATCACATATGTTTATATACCATATTACAGTGAATTACGTGATACGCAAACGATATTACAAGTTAATTCTTGGCTGAACAATAACGTCATCGGACGACAACATACACATTTTTTATTGTTGTCGATGTTGTAGATGTATTTGAAGTATGTTGTCCAACTGATGAACTTTCTACCGAGTTATTGTCAGTAGTTTCAAGATTGTGATGAAAATGACATTGATTGCCGAATTTACAGACACCACGTTTAAAAAAGCGACAGATTGTGTTTACAGATGGTACCGTGGAAGATATTACTTCAGTACTCCCATCATTCCTAACTCCTTGAGTATGCCGGTATCTACAATTGTTCCCCTCCCGGCACATTCCATTTTTAAAATAACTAAAACAATATTAAAATATTACTAAGAGCATTAAGTATATGGACAAATTTATATTTACAATTTATGCATTGGGATTTACATGATTCTAACAGACATTTATGAGTACTCGTTTTACGATGACAACTATCTAAAATTAATTCTGTAAGCAGAGAGCATGATGGAAGGTTTATGAACGTAGAAAATAGAAGAGCAGAGGATGTTTGGACCCTGACATAAACGCTGACAACTTTGTTTATATCCATAACAGGAACAAAGGAACTGATTGCGAGGACCAGAGCGCAACAAGACATTCGGAGTTAGTCTGCAGAGTAGAACGCGCCGCTGTACACGAGACGAATTATTAAAGAATAAAGAATTGTTTTCGTCTTTGCAATTGTAATGATTGAGTTTATTAGGATAAAAATTATCGGAGGTAATAGATAAAAGGAACCCAAAGGAATATCGACGATGAAAGGCCTACTTCGACATATTTCAAATACTTTCTGATTTCAAACGGGATACGTTTCGTTATTTTATTAACGATAACGATACATTTTCTTACCGGCAAACAACGCTCTGTGTCCAACTGTCGGCCATTTTCTAAAGCTTCCACTTTAACAATAAATCGACAACGCGTCCTCAAAGGATCGCGCACGATCTCCTCGAGAGTGGCAACAGGAAATTCAGTATGAATTTAACGAAAGAAACCTGCTCCTCAAGTTGCACAATGTCTTGTGCTATATCATCGATTCTATTTAACAAGTATCCGCTCGCGAGTCCTGCCAGAATTGTAGAAAAACACCTCTCGCACAGGGACACTTCCTCGTCCTCCGTTACCCGTTCTTTACACGTTTCCAGGTCGTTTCGAGTTCTCTTCTTTACCGGAATTTTTAGATTTGTATATGTGCACTCTCCCCGTTCTTTTTCTCTATCGACAAATATTTATATTTAACGAGTACTGTAACTCATCAACTCAACGCGTGAGAGCACACATATACGTCACGGCTAAACTAACAACAGGCAAATTCACATCACATTTGCGACCGTTATGCATGATCTGGAGCATGCGCTCGAAACTTTCCGACCGTTTAAAACCATTGATATGTGTTGATGTGTTGATATTGTTACGTATGTACCTTGTATTCGCAATTTATAGTCGTTTCTCAGTTCTCAATTCTCAACTGCTTGTTACATATCTTTATGTTTCTTGATACATTATTGATGAAAGTCGAGAATGTATTTTGAAACGTCTTATTTCATTATTCATTAACGCTGTTTAAAATTTTGTGGAAGTGAATAAGCCTACCACAATGACCGAAAAACATATAAGTTTATGTTCTGGGCCGGTCTTCAAGTCCTTCTACTCCTTCCTCAAGCAATTTCGAAACTTAACATTTGCTCCTAATTTGACCTAAAGGACGGGGCAATGCAGGTCAAAGTCGGGATGAGGCGTGACAAAATACGTAAGGAGGGTGCAGACCATGAGCGCATACTCTTTAATTGCTGGTCAAATTACACATACACATATATAAAATATGAATATCATGTAATAACTACGATATACAAATAAAGAAATTATCTCCCGTAAGATAAGATGTAAAGAAGTTGCACAGATGGAAATTATATCATTTGTAATTTTCTATTAATAATAATATGACTGATAGCAATAACGAATCGTTTCTATTTAATTTATTATTGTCGACTGTATTTAAATATTCATTTAGACTCAAATTGTAAACATATGCAACGGCATTATTCTTTGACGAACATATATTCTATGTGGAATGAATAATAAAGATGAATACAACAAAAGACCGAGTAATTATGGAAACCCGGCTTTATTTAGTTTGATCCACGATCCAAATAAAATTATGATCATATGTTGGTAGTGTATGCCGACTTACCGCTGCGGCTGTTGTGTACAGTTGTATATTCGACGATGAACACGGGTTTATATATTTTTAACTAGAAATTTGTGAGACGAAGTCTTCTGTTTGTGATACGAAAGGTGATGCTATTCTCTAACGAATCTAAACATTTGAAAACGTTGCATCTCTCCGGACAGTTTGTCACAATTAATACCTATTCAATTTTCAATTGTACAGAGAATTTCATGTTCAAGTAATACGATTCAACTATTATTCATCTATTTAAACCGGTACACGCCTGTGTTAGTTGTTGCGAAATATAAACGTAATCTCATTTATTTATATTTATGTTTTACGTTTACTGTCAGTCTGGTTTCAAATCGCAAGTGTGAAACACAATATGGCGAGACGAAGCTACTTTTCGTAATAACCTTCATTGTTTCCTACAATGATTTATCATGCTTAGAAGAAGAAACGTAATGTCAATTGTTTCTTGAGAACTGTTCCATTGTTTCTTCTTACATGCTACTTTATCGTCGCTGCAATTTATCTTATTTGTATACTTATGTTTATATCATTTTTTGTATTTACAAGTAATTGTTTATATGGTTTAAAACAAACTTGTACGGTTTATGTATGTCAAATGAAGAAGAAATATATTTTCATAGCTGTACTTTCATTTCCTGCTCTCTAAAAAATTCTTCCAACTTACTGAGCTTTATGATTTGTTAATGATCTTTCAGATATTTGTTCACATGAACAAGCATGGATTCTAATGGTGGTATGAAATTGTCGGTTAGTCAATCACAAACTGAAGAAGAAAAGAATTCTGAGGTACATGACGACATAATTCCTAAAGAAGGTGAAGCTGAAGTGAATCCGAGCAATGAAACAGTTAATACTCAAGATGTAGAACAAGACAAACCATCAGATAGAACTTTAGAAGGTGCTAGCATATCAAATGATGAAACAAGTCAGGAAAATGTTTTAAGAGACAGTGAATTAACTTTGGAAGAAAGTAATATAAATAAGACAGTGGATTCTGATGTTACACAGCCAGCAATTGATGAAAGTGTTATAGAAAATGTTTCAGTGAAAGAAGGATCAGAATCATTGGACAAGAGTGAGATACAAAAAGATAAAGTAGAAACAATAGAAACTGTAGAATCCGAGGTTTCACAAGAAAAATCACGTGACTTGAACGTAATTAACAAATCAGTTGATAACGATGTTTTAAAAGATCCTGAAACAAATAAATTATCTGCTGCTAGCGAAATTGATGATTTGGACAGCAAAAGAACTGATCCAAAGGAGACATCAGTAGATAGTGATAAAGATGTATCAGAGAAGAACATTTTGGAACCCAAAAACAAAAATTTGGAATCCGAGAAAGAGAATTTGGAACAAGAGAAAAAGGATTTAGAGCAGGAGAAGGATAATGTGGAACCAGAGAAGGATAACGTGGAAGTAGAGAAGAATAATGTGGAACCAGAGAAGAGTAACGTGGAACAAGAGAAGAATAACGTAGATCCAGAGAAGAGTAATGTGGAACCAGAGAAGAATAACGTGGAACCAGAGAAGAATAACGTGGAACCAGAGAAGAATAACATGGAACCAGAGAAGGATAACGTGGAACCAGAGAAGGACAACGTGGAACCAGAGAAGAACAATGTGGAACCAGAGAACACAGAATTCGTGCAGTTTTCTCAAGAGAAGCACGGAGATTCACAACTGGAAAACCAATCAATGGACGCTGCTGAAGATCCATTCAGTGTAGATAATCTTAGTACCGAAAATGTGGAACCGATGGAAACTGATTTTACTGAAACCGACATAAGTTTCTCTAAACTGTGCAATCAAGCTGACAATTTGCAGGACATTGTAAGTAATAAGGAAAGCAATTTCAATATTGTTGAGAAAGACAGCAGTAAAGGAAATGAAGACGTACATTCTCCGGGTGCAGTGGAGAATGTTAGTAAAGATGCTAATGAAAGTCCGATTGAGACAGAACAGAATGAAAACTTAAATAGAGAAGTTATGGAGTCAACAGACAAATGTGAGAATGATGAAACGAAGAAAACTGTTAATGAAGTTACACCAATGGATACCGAAGAACAATCGGACGTTTTACCGGGACAGGATGATGAGTTATGTATTATTCCCGACAGTATGAAGGTAATAATGCCTGGACAAACGGAAAAATCAACCTCTGAAAATAAAGAATCTTCACGTGAAGATAGTAACAAACAGAATGAATCGGAGAAAACGTGCGAAACTAAAGAATTGGATACTAACACTAATAAAAATTTAAAAGACCCTCAAACTGAATCAAATACCGTCAGTGAAGGTAGTAAAAAAAATGTGGAAAATATTACAGTTGCTACAACAGAGAAAGAAACCGCTGATAAAAGTTCTGCTGCTGCTACTACAACAGATGTTATAGATGTCGATGAAGAGGTAAAAAATCCAGAGGTCGAAGAAATCGCGAGGAAAGAGATCTGCAAGCAATGTAACGAGGAGAAATCTTGTAAGATTAAAGTGAAGGTTGGCTACGAGTCTTACAATGTATGTTCAAAAACTTGTAAAGCATTGTTCAAAGCTGCCAATAATAAGGCGATGGATATACCAAGCGATGGGGTCAATTCAAAGAAAGAGAAACGTTGCGCAAATTGCTTGTTAATCGTTGAACCTAGTGACGAACGTAATCTTTCTTGGGAGACAATGGAATTTTGTAATGAGGAATGTCTAGGTAAATTCCAAACAAAGTACGGAAGCTATTGCAGAAATTGCAATGGATCTGTCCAGGCAGTGAGTTTAGGGAAGTATTGCGTACGTTTTGGCTACGATGTCAGACAGTTCTGTTGCTCTACATGTTTGGAAGAATTTAAAAAGGGACTCAAAGTATGCAGTTATTGTCAAAAAGATATAAGTTCAAGCACGGATGGCTTCCTCGCACCAGTCGGCGACAAAGGGCAGTTTAAGGATTTTTGTACTCAAGACTGCATGGAGAAATATTCGAAGATGAGCTCTGTCGAGCCTCCGAGCATGGAAAAGAAATGTTGCAGCGTTTGTCAAGAAGTAAGGAACTGTTTCTTTTTACCTACCGTTTGAATATACTTCTCCAATTAAAATGTATGCTTTTTACAACAGGAAAAAGTTGTTCACTGTGAGGTACAGATAGACAGAGCCGATCCAGTAGCAATTTGCAGTGAACCATGTTTTGCGGCATTTAAATTTGTAAAAAAGGTCGATCCTGACCAGTGCTCCACGTGTAAAAAGTTCTTCGAATTCGCGAACAAGAAATGTTCAGTTGTATTTTACGAAAACAAGGCTCACCCGTTTTGTTCCAAGACTTGTTTAAACATATTTATCATTACCAATAGGAATATAGTTCCTTGCAATTGGTGCAAAGTAAAAAAGTATAATTTTGATATGATAAAGAAGGAACTGAAAACAGGCCAGGCGTTGATGATGTGCAGCTTGAATTGCTTAACATTGTATCAGGTATAAAATGATTATTTATTTTATATTTCATAAACATAAAATCATCTACTTCAATTTTATACAGGTTTCCGTTAACGCAGTGTCAGCTAAACGCATTAATTGCGACTTCTGCAAAGAATTCTCTCAAGCGCAATATCATTTAACGATGTCGGATGCAACGATACGAAACTTTTGCTCGTATCATTGCGTGATGAACTTTCAAGCTCAATATACCAAGTCTCCGATAACGATCCCAGCAAGCGATGATCCCGTACCAACCGGTATGCCTAAGAGATCGATACCCCGAGTAGATAGAAATACGAATACCAGCGCTGGTGCGAAGACTACCGATATGCAGAACAAAAAGAACATGCCTGTAATTTCTTCGGTAACGAGTTTAGCCACGATTGGAAACGGTCAGCCGAGTCCAACAACGCAACCGAACACCGTGAGCAGCATGGTGTCGACGGTAGGCATCGGTCAAAATCCGACGCACCAAGTAATTTATAAGCAACACGTGATAACGAGGCCGACGAGCCCGATCCAGGTCCGTAATAAAACGACTCAGTGTAAGCCTGTGATACACACGAAAGGCGTCTCAGTACGGCCGCATCCTTGCACAAAGGCCACGCAAACGGATGGAGTTCACCATGCGGTTGTACCGATACCAGTTCCGATTTATGTTCCATTTCCAGTGCATATGTACACGATGCCTTTTCCAGTTCCATTCCCTATTCCATTACCGATTCCTGTCCCTCTTTTTATACCTACTACAAGAAATAGCATTAAGGGAATATTTAAAGAAATTAAGAGAATACAGGAGAAGATACCAGCCGATCCCTTCGAGGCTGAACTTCTCATGATGGCAGAAATGGTTGCGACGGAAAAGAAGGGCAATGACAGTGACTCGGATTCTGTGGATGACAGGGAGGAAGATACTGGTGATCGCGATCAGGCGCACAGCGGAGCATTCAGTCCGGAAACGGTTGATTCTAACAATGCTTTCGGCGATGATATGCTGCAAATGGCATTAAAAATGGCAACTGGAGAGTTAGACGAGCCAGCTGTCGATTTAGAAGCTGCATTAACACCTACTACAATCACTGCTACGCAAGCACCGGCACAGTCTGAAACAAGTATGGAAAACGACGTGCAGTCGGAACGACTACTTGTCTCTCGGGGGAGGAAACGAATGGTTCCATATAAATCGCGATCAACTCCGAGCAAACGGGGGAGACGGGTATCGAATACAAACGAAATACCTTTAATGCCACCACCTGTACCTCAGCCTCCACCTCAACCAAGAATAATAGAGCCTATGGAAAAACCAGACGCTAATATGGCACTCAAATATACGTTCGGTGTAAACGCTTGGAGGCAGTGGATAGTGGCGAAAAATGCTGAATTAGAGAAGCAAAGTACACCGACGAGAAAAATAAAATTGTTTAAAACGGACCTTCTGCAGCTTACAGCTGACGAATTGAACTATTTGTTATGTCTCTTCGTGAAAGAAGTTAGGAAACCAAATGGAGCGGAGTATGCTCCGGACACGATTTATTATCTTTGTTTAGGTAAATATCTTGATCGTTGATTAGAAGGAAATTCATCTATTTACAAATATTTTGTATTGCAGGAATTCAGCAGTATTTATTTGAAAACAATAGAATAGATAATATTTTCACGGATTCGTACTATGAAAGATTTACCGATTGTTTAAACGAAGTTGCGAAGAAATTTTCCGTTCTTTATAACGACGCACGTGAGTTCATTTTATACATCTGAAATTGATATAAGCAGAGGATCATAGGCTAAATCTATTCGCAGAATACATCGTTACGAGGGTCGAGGAAGAACATTTATGGGAGTGCAAGCAATTAGGTGCCCATTCCCCTCATGTTCTCTTAAATACTTTAATGTTTTTTAATACTAAACACTTTAATCTTGTAGTACGTATAAATCATTTTCATTCGCTATACAAACATTAGTATGTACGTGAAAATGATCTAAGTAATACTATTTAGACAGTAGAAGAGCACATGCAGTTATCATTTTCTCATATCATGAAACACTGGAAACGTAATCCCGCTGCACAACCTACGGCAACGGCGGGGAAAGTTCCAGGATCTAGAAACGTTCTCCTCCGCTTCTACCCGCCCCAATCAGCATTGGGTTAGTACCAATTAATTTCGTAAGATTAAAAGCATGGTCAAATTTTTCCCTTTTTTCCAGAAGGTAATTCACGTAAAAAGAAAGTATACGAACAACAAGAAAACGAAGAAAACCCGTTAAGATGCCCGGTGAAATTATACGAATTTTATTTGTCCAAATGGTACGTTTCGATTTATTTACTACAAATGCATAGTAATATTGAAGCATATTTGTCGTATCATTTTAGTCCAGAGAGTGTTAAGACTCGAAATGACGTGTTCTATTTACTACCCGAAAGGAGTTGCGTGCCGGACAGTCCTGTTTGGTATTCGACGTCCCCATTGGCTAAGGAACATCTCATAAAAATGTTATATCGCATTAAAATGGTTAAAGAAATCAACGTGGCATTATTGACTAGCTAACTTTTCATGTTCGTATATTTACATTTCCTCATAGTTAATTCGAATAACATAACGTACGAGAAAATATTCGCGTATACATCAGATAAGAAAATGTTCAGAGATTGTGTAGTCATTAAATCTTTATAATTTCTATTGTATATTTTTCACTTCCTAATAAAACAAAAAGAACCTATTATGAGTGAAGTGTATTAATTGGTCCGAGTGGCATGTAAATCAAATTTTTATTTACAACTTAACTCATACATTCTTTTTCTGTTGATCTAACACTTGTCTACGTTTCAATATGTTCTTCTGTATTTCCAAATGACGAAGTTCTGTGTGCAGATCTGAGAATATATCTATTTGTTCTTCTTCCGGAATTGTTGACCTGCAAGAAGATTATATATTTTAAATATCCTTCGACTGAATCGATCCTTTGTATCTGTATAGTATATTCTAATTTTACCTGTAGATCTTCATCAAATCGTATTTCTCCCATGGCTTGGCAGCTAATTTTGCCTTCTTAATTCGTGATGCATTCAGAAGATCATTCAAATTTTGAACTCCTTTCAAATCTTTACGTTCCCATCTCTCTAACCATGGCCGCGGATTAAGAGGAATTTTAATTTCATTCAATGGCACAGTTCCAGGCTTTGTTAGTTCAGCTTCCATATCCAAAGGAAACGTGCTATATTCTAATGGTGCATCTCTGAGATAAAGCAATTCATCGTCCAATCTCTTCTCCAGTCTATAATATATAAATATGATTGTGTATTTTGCAGATTGATATATCCTCTTTTCATATTTAAATGTGATCCTTATCTACCTCAGGCAGTCAATTTTTTGGATAACAGGATCGTATAAATCATAACGTACTTCTACCGGTTCCCCATTGACAACGTTTCTTAAAGTAAATGCAGCTCTCAATCCACATCCTTCTCTTAATATACATATACCTACAAATCTGTTTACTTTGCCGACTGCATGCGCTTCGGAATATGTTACTGCTAATATAGATCCGACGTAAAATTCAGGAACACTGAGCACCGATCTTCTGGCCAGCATGTCTATGCGTTCTAATTTTTCTCTCATACTGTTACGATGCAACGGATTCGGATCTGGTAAGAATTCAGGGTAAATGAATCTATAATTCGTAACAGCCGTAGAATCCAATGGTTCTGTGGTTTGTTGGTCTGCATTTTCATCTATTTGAACTTTCGTTTGTGCCACAGTTGACAGAGCTTTAAGTTCGTTCCCTAACAAAATGAATTACAACAAAATATGCAGGTTAATCATAATTACAAATGGTTATGAGTACGAAATGTAATAATAGAACATACCTAATATTTTTGTGATGGGTGATTTCTGACACACTTTACCAGGCACTAATCTTAATGGTAGAAACATATTTTCAAATTTCCTGTTGCCTTTCTTATATTAATAAATTCGATTACTTTGCAATCAAAGTTGTGCTTGTTACTATTTCACTGTCGATGTCGATGTCGGCCGTCGGTCGCTATCGTCGCTAAACTGATGTGACGTGAAATGAGGCACGAGATAGGATAGGATTAAAGGGACCAGCTTTCGATTTTCAATAATTACATACGTGTTAGTGACTAACATATACATAGCGATACGTGTAGTAGAAGATGCCGCGCAATTTTTATTAACATGTACGAAAAAATGAATAACAGGTAATTTACTTTACATTTGATGTATTTTTTAATGTATAAGGGAGTAACAAATGAAATTACGCCATGGTTATAAAAGTAAAAATATGCAGATTTTTAATGTATTACATTTATGTGCTGGAATACTTACAAAATTAATTTGTAGATATGCGCATAGTTAATGTTACAATTGATATATACAAATATGATTTGTAGAGTGTAATCGTGGCAAGTATTGTTCTTAATTACAACTTAGGAGCAATTGTTGCCATCTTTGTATCTAATAATTTAAAATACTGGCATTAATTACATTAAATGTTAATAATTGCCGTTCACATTGCCAGCTAGTATTTATACTTTAATATTATACAGTATTTTTATACAGTGGTAATAAGTCGTGACAATGTGAGGGGATGTTCAATGATGTTTCTGGATAAACATGATTAAATGTCGACATCTACGTTTAAGTATACGGACGTAGTTCTTTTTTTAAATGTACACATACATATAAATATTATTCTAGTAAAATACATATTTAGATTTATTTCCAATGGTGCTTTGGCAAACAGGTTTTCATAGCACCATAAATAGTGCGATTTCATCGTGAAGCATAGAATTTTTCGCTAATCTTTGTACTACCTCCTGTTTATACTCCGACTCATTTATACTTCAACTATGAAATGCAAAAGTACAATTATTATTGTATCAAACTTCAATGACAGTTTCTGAAAGGATAAAATTTTGCTAGGTGTAATAAATAATGATGTACTCTTCGGAATTGTCTAACATTATCCTAGATCATTTATTATTTAGAAATTGTCAGTAGAATAACTCAGTCAAAATGAAGTTAACAAGACTATACAATTGTTTTTTTTCTGGTTCATTAACCAGACGAGGAAATTTTTATGCTTACAGTTTGTACATGAGATTTTTGAATTACACGAAATAACCGAATATAATTAATTTTCTATATTCCCTTCATAGAAGGACTCGCATTTTTCTAACAATCGTAGAACTGGATTTATGTTATACGGGAACAAAGCTTTCGATACTAATCTGTCGATCGCTAAACGAAGTCTTATCAATATTGTCATGGTATCATCTAGTTCCCGTCCGCAGCAAGAGATGAATTCTGTCCAATTTCTTTTAACATATTTCAAGAACCTTAATAAGTACAGTAAAAAACAGGTCTCATTGCTAACGAGCAAGTCTAGCAGAACGTCGGGGTCATGCGATACAGCGTGTATAAATTGTATGAAAGTTAAAGTCGGACTGAGCATATGACCGAGGTCGTTCTGTGGTGGCCCTCTATAAAATAAACCAACGGCTACGTCCAAACAGCAGACCATACCTTCGATGAGAAAATCATCTTGATCATGAAACATCTGTACAACCCATTGGGACAAAGGCATTTCCGGATGAAACGGCATTAAAGTTTTAACACACTGATCGAGTTGCCTCAAGACTTCCCTAATACTCCTCTCGATAACCGCCATATCGGCGTCAAGATCCTCGGCTTCGGAACCCAAGGAAGAGTCACTGGAATCGCTGCGTGTCTCTTTAACAGTCACGGCAACACTTTTCAAAACTAGAAGCACTACTTTCTGCAAAAGCGGACGATCACCTTCGCCAGAACCTCCTCCAAATCTGCCTGAACCATGCCTGTATGGCAGAGCGTCCAGCAATCTCCAATCTTTCACAGCTCTCACGATCAGATGTGCGAGAGAACAAGGCTCGTCTGGTAGTACATCTTGCAATGCCAGAGTGCTCCCATAACATAGTACTTCATTAAATAACCCGAGAAGATGTCTCCATATTACACCAGGAACATTAGCATTTAAAAGTACCACCAAATTGTCTAATTGAGAATAAAAGAGCTTGGTATCGATGACAGACAAGTTGGCTTTAACGGAGATGATCGATTCCCACAAATCGAGAAAAGTGATAACAACCGATTCGTGTTGGGGCGTGTACGAACTTAGAATGGTATCAAACTTCGACACCAGTATAGTCCATTTAGATTCCAACGCTTTTACACACGTTGCTTTTACTGGAGTACTATCAAAGCTTTCCGCATCCGAGATTGATACTGTGTTACAGTGTGGTGGCGGCACGATGCTCTCTGTGTCCTCAAGAGGATGAATACTGCAATCCTTGTGTTCTACGACTCTTTTTACAATGTCCAATGTAAAGAGCATTTGGCTCGGGGAATGAGTGTTCACTAAAGACTGCGTCAGTCTTTCCAGCCATGCTGCTTCGATGTTATCCTTTGTCACAATGAAGAAGGACGCGAGTACTCGGCTAGCGGTGAATGATATGAACTTGTTCGTTGTACACGATAAGTCGATTATTTGATCTATGATGCCATGCTCATTTCGCGCCAGTGCATCACAAACATCTACCACTCTTCTGCACATAACACCTCTCGTATTTTGTCTAATAGCTAAATCGAAAAGGAGTTGTAAAGCTGTTATGAACTCAAGGGTCAGATCAGGCTCCCATTCTGATAATAAAGAAGATCTAAACGTGCCGTCTGCAGCTTCCACTGTTCCACTGGTAAATGGTTTGCGCAGACTGCTCTCGGGCACATTGCATAAACATTGAGTTAAGAGGCTGTTCTGCAATTGTTCTATGTCTGAAGATATGTCCCTCTCGACGTTGTTGCCTTCGGTACGTTGTTTCTTCTTTGCTGGCTCCTCCATTGTGTTATTAGGAGGACAATGGTAATAGTGCCAAAGCACCATTAGCAGCACTGACCTTGCTGCTCTCTTCTCTCGATTTAAGATCCTCTTTCATCAGGTGATCTTCATAATATATATCATGTTCCAAAAATCGAAGTACCATGTAAATAGTAGTTGAAACGTAGCCAACATCAGCCTTTTATATGTACAAAAGCCATAAAGTAGCAGATAGAATACATCTATTAATAGAAGAAAAATGATTTTCAAATACGTATAATAATTCCAAAAGTACAGTGAAGAATGATATTGAAACTTACCGAAATAATTGACTTCTGGCTCCAATAATATTCCGATAAATTTGAAAACCCGAACTCCTTGTAGGTGTATGCAAATAAGTGTATGTACGCATTTACACGGTCATTCATATGAGTATGTACGCGTATATCACTTGAAGCGTCGTGATCGTACGTCTAATCAGAGTACGGTATCCCCAGAACAGGTTGAAATTTATACACGCGTTTCCGGATTTATTTCTAACAAACTAATGATGAGAAATTGAACACAGGTCGCACATGTAATATACATATAAACCGACGCTCGCTGATACGCTAATACGCACACAGAAATACTCTCTTCGAACGGTTTGACAGACAATTATATGTATCTTTCAAACATTTGACAGCACTCTTAGAGTCACGCCGCTTTCCACGATTTGAACAATGTAAATATATATTATTGTTTGTTTGCTCGAAGAATTTCTTTTGACTAGGAAGTGACAGAGCACTCGACGACTCTGCTCTGTTGCCACGTATACATGCTACCGAGTAAAAATGGGAAATACGCTTTTATGCCGTTCGCCCATGAAATTACCCCAGTTAAACAGTTCATATCTGACGTCGAGTGGTAAAATGTTTACTCGATAATACATAGGACACGAATTGTTCGTGTTTATTACGTATTTTTCGGGTGGCATCATGCGGAGCTGCGTAACACAGTAGCTCCTCCTCGCACATTCCACAATGCACTGAGTGCGAATAATCGTAATTACTTGAATAATAGCAGCGGGACCAACGCTGAAACTCGTCAAATATTCATCGAATACCTTTTCTACGATTTTTCATAATAAAAGTAATCGCGTTTCAAATGTCGTATAATAAATACAGGAGATGATCGGCAACTCTGCATCGATCGCAGCGCTCCTCACGCACAACGATCTGTAGATCATCAGTGATCACCTGCTCATACGCACGATGCGACACAATGATTTACTGCACAAAAATATTAATCAGATTTTGCGTTTAATGTACAATTGTACAAACAGAAGAATCTGTTTTTTCCAATGAAATATAATTAATCTTTATACTGTCATATACTGCTTTTCTGCGTACAAATTTAATACTGTTTTGTATATCTGCAGAATAAATTAAATTAAATATAGAAAAATAATCAACAAATTGTTCACAATACATAAAAGGTCTTTCACTTCTGTTTCAGTAAAATATATAATGTCGCTTTCAACCTATTCTTCGTAAGAACTCTCTTATTTTTAAGTCCAGACGTAACTGTGTTGAGAAATAATGAGAAATCTTTTTTGGTGAATGGATAAATGATTTTTAGAAGGATTTACGTTTTATGAATATAGAGCAGTTATCGGGATTATGCATTAGGCGGTACCTCTATCTGGCTATCTATATGCTGAACCGTCATAGGTACTTTCAATGACGTAGGACTGCCATATTTTTTCCTATATGGAGCCTGCCAGGGGGTCAGCCAAATTGTTGGGGGTTTGGAGGTGGCCATGCGAGATGTTTTGTGATAATCGAATGGTGCGCATAATAAACAATTAAACCGACATAACAGCGGTGCGCGTCGTATCGGCAGATATGCTCGAGTCGTTCGAGCGAGCGGCAAGAATCGGCAAAGAGAGAAGGCCTTTCACTCAAAACATCATCCTTCCTCACATGCGATAGGAATTTTTACATCGGAAATTCGAGATCAGGATGAGTGCGTAGTGCCGCGGTAAGATTCTACCAGAAGTCGGGACAATGGGGCTTTAACATTTATCCACGTTGTGTTTCGTCTCGTGATCGTTAGCCTTTAAACAAGTACTGTATAGTTTTGCAATGCGATCCCACCGACGACGGCACGCAAGTTGTCTTGGTGATTCTGTTCAATTCGTTTGATCGCGAACGTGGTGCACTACCCCGTCGCACTATTTTGGTCTGTACGTTTTATTTACACGTATTACTCTTGTTGCGCGTGTTATTCTTCGCCAAATATTTTGGCTATCTTTGTAGCAGTTACGTAATTTCCGACGTGAGTAATTCCGGCACCATGGCCGATGATGAATTAAATGAAACTCGATTGTTTTACACGTAAGTGGCGTGCGGACGTATATACCAGCGTAAAGTTAAAGGGAATTGATTTTTAACATTCTTCGCGTAAACGCGAAACAAGTTGGGAGCGTGCTGCCGAGTTGCTAATAACATGATAACGCGATACGTCTGGTTCCACCGTTGTAAACAAAATTAATGTTTAAACAGTGATAGTGATCTTCCATAGATATGTCTATTGGAAATTATCTCTTTAAGGTAAATTTTATCATTTAAGACAAATTATGTCATATATCTATGCATATGTACTATCTATGTGTGCATTTTTAAATACCAAGTAGAAAGACAGACTATTTTTTTGTAAAAGAATTTATTTCATTTTACATAACTAATGATATTCTAACTACAATTATAATTACATAAGATTGCATCTTCATTTCAACAGATATTCTTACTTCTGCGTTTAATCCGCTATTTCTTATGAAACTATGAATTTTATTTCTATCCCATGTATAAAAATTGTAATGGTAAATATTCTAGGATAGTCATCACATCATAATGTGGTGGTTTGAGATACTATTGAATAATACTACTAAAAATGGCAGAGGTAGTATCCAAAGATTTTGGTAAAGAAAAGCCGTTTCGAAAAAGAGACATGTCAGATTCACTGCAGCAGCAGTGTAATCAACCTCCTCCTGATATTATGCCAAAGGGAATTACAATCAATGGTACATATAATTTTGACTGCTTCTTGTTAGAAGCTTACAGAAATGATTAAATAAGAATTATATTTCTAGGCATAGGAGGAAGGTTACGCCAATTAGAATCCCTTTTCATTGCTGGTCCTGTCCAGCGGGAAGGAAGGATAGGCCACAGTTTTTCCATCGAGACACTTATCGATGTTTTACTTGTCTTATACGATGAATGCTGTAACTCTTCCTTACGACGCGAAAAGACTGTCTCCGATTTCATTGAATTTGGTAAATTGTACATGTATATTCACGCTCTATCGCGAACAATTTTAGTTATGTATCCAAATAAAATTGTTGCAGTGAAACCGGTGGCTGCTTGCATTAAAAGTTTGCAATTGGCACGGGAGGATTTTGAGATATTAAAGGTGATCGGTAGAGGAGCATTTGGTGAAGTATGTGTTGTAAGAATGCGTGGTTCGGACAAAGTGTTTGCGATGAAAATTTTGAACAAATGGGAGATGCTGAAGCGTGCGGAGACCGCGTACTTCAGGGAGGAGAGGGACGTACTGGTGTACGGTGATCGGAGATGGATTACGAATCTCCATTATGCCTTTCAAGATGACAATAATTTGGTAA